ATGTTGTGTGAATTGTGATTACTGTTGGTGGATATTTATAGGTATAGGTAAGCAGGTGGTGGTATCTAGCAGGTGGTTTAACAAAATCTGCCTACAAGAAAATCTGTCACCAAAGTATACCAACATTGTTAAGTAATAAACATAAAGAAAATAGCTTATAATTTGTTGGAAACAAAGTTTATTTATTACATATAAATTTATTTCAACCAGGAATATTATGTAGCCTGATTTGATACTGCCTTGAAAAGTGAGGCCACAGGTCGCTGATAAATCTTTTATAAGTTTATGTGGTGTTTTCTGCAATTCAAAGCAGTAAGTGGAGACTACTGCACTATGCAAAATAAAGTTTCAAAATATATATATGTTAACAAAAATCAATCAAGTGGAAATTGACTGGATGTATCAAATGGATTTTTGCAATCAACAATGAAACAATTGTAATATTAAAATGAATAGAAGTATTTTTAATGGTTTTTCAGGAAAGTGTCTCACAACAAAATTTTGCAAATTTCACAACATGAAAAATAAATCAGATTATATGAATTTTTAAGCCCAAACTAGATGCAATTTAGTAAGTTTGCTCAAAGTTTCATGCAATTGGATTAAGTATTGTTACGATAGCAGAAGTTGCATGACGCTGGGAGCATGTGCACTGGAGTTTCTCGCATTATCGAGGAACCCCGAGTGTTTGCTAGATGCCCTCTTTTATAGTATATAAGCCTGGTGAGAAAAACCAGCAAGATTGAAGATATAGATAATTGAGTCAAGTGAACAGTAGGCACCATAAGTAAAGTGTCTGAATCACTGTGATTTATAGTGTGTGTTATAAAAGTAGTTAAGTTTAACGTACTGATTGGAAAATTCTGTGTATTACAAAGTTGTATCGAGAAAAAATAAACTGGTTTAATTAAGAAAGGACTTGTATCGCTAAAGTTCCTCAGAAAGAATTTATACCGGAAATTAACAAACAAGCAAATACGTAACAGTATTTCCATTGTGATATGGTTAATAAAACTATTGATGCCCAGTACAAGTGTATAAATATTTTTTATGCATAGGTACAAAGTGATTTCAAATGTGTAAAAGAAAGCCACACCATACCATAAATAGAGTTACGTGAACTATGTGTCAAATCATTTGATTTTGGAGAATTAGATTTAAGTTTTCTGTTTAAAGAGTAAAAATATGCATCTGAATGCTTTTAATTTGTTCATTAAAGTATTTATACTTGCAGGAACTAAAGTTTTTACAAGATTTCTGTTCATAAATAATCCCATCCTGTTGTCACATTTTTATATACTTTTTTTTTTAAATTTTACCATAGCTGTTGGTTATGTTTCTCATCTATATCCAATAAAAACTCGATGCATGTGTAGTATGTGTGATATGAAATAGGCCTAGGTGTAATTATACAGACAGATGCAATATATTTTCTGCTCTTCAAAAATAATATTTGGTGAGACATTTTTAAGCAAATAATTTTCCTAATGTTTTTGTGCTTCACATATATATTTTGGTTTTTATCTTGATTTGTTTTACTGTTTTGATTTGATTGTCACTATTCATAATGTTATTTTACACTATCATCAGTACCAACTCAAATTAACTTTTAGCCTCACCACCATGATTTGAAACTTGCATTGACTGTTGGTTACAACTGAGTATAATTTAGTGACAATTGCTGTGAATTATTTTACATATTTCTAAAGTTTTATTTTCTAAAACTACGGTAGTTATACTTGAAGACATGTATAATTACAAAAAAGGCCTATATTCAGGGACTTAATTAAAACAAACAAAACAGTTCTCATATGTGAACCATCTGAATTATATTGGTCTGCATTGGAGCAAGAAAGAAAGAAAAGTGGTAACGTAAATTAAAACGTAATATTTCTTTAAAGTATTCGAACATTGTGTGTAAATGAAAGCAATCACTGACAGCAATGCCATCTACAAACTCCAACAGTTTTATTAAAACTGAACAATTTAAAAGACAGGAACCACTCTCAGGAAGTAAAAGCAGGAACCAGTCAACTAAGATTGCAAAAGCACTGGCATGTGAAATGATTCTGTCCTGATTTTTGACATTTTGGTATGCATGTGAACTGGTGGATCACTTATTTGAAGCCTACCTGTACATGAAAAAAATTGTTGATAAGAAAATAAAGGCATTGGTAGTTTTAAGATAATTGGGTCCCTTATGCATTGATTGTGTGTATAATTTTCCAAGGTACTGATTTATTATGATTGATATAAGTGTAAACTTCATTTTCCTCAAACATAACTTTCATCAGTTATCAAGTAAAGATTGTTCGATTGTTGTCCTGTAAATTTGCCCTGGACATCATGTTGATACATTGTTGTCAATTGCTCAGTAATAACAAGATTTTATTGTTTTAATATCATTTAAACATGAATGTATTAATGTAAAAAGAAAATTACAAGCTGAAATGCCATTGTTAAAATATATGGTTTTAGTAACCTACAAGCTTTCCAGATCATTAAAGACATGTTTTAGCATGTACTTCAGCCTGTAAAATAACAACTTTTGTTTTCTTATTTTGCTTTGAAATTTTCTTGGATTTATCACTAAAACCTTTAGTTTCACATTTCATGCAAGTTGATTGTGGAATTGTAAATAGGAAGCTTTGCTCCAGTTCTTCTCATATGTAAAGTGTTGCTTAAATGTGAGTATATTGAACAATAGGTACAGAATGACCATTAAGAACATCGCTGCTTTGTTGAACCTAACTAATGGTATTATTCATGAGCAACCATTACCTTTTTGGTAATTTTTGTGTGTTTTTGCTATCATCCAGGCCCTTTAAACACTTATTGTAGTTTGTTGGACTTATCTAATTGATAAACACTAATTTTAGTTCTTTTACAAACTATTTCTAGCTGCGTCAGCTCTGAAATATTACAAATAAAAAAGTACATTATCAAGTTATCTTGGTCAATTACTGTTGCTTGATATTCTGAATTCCATCTGATTAGATTGTTTCAGTGGTTAAGAAAAAAATACTGTTCTAACATTAGCTAAAAAAGAAATATAATGAGAAGATAAAACCAGTACTGTGCTAGTGCTGATTTGATATCATTCTTTATGAATTGGAGAAAAATAAGTTTTTGTTTTCATTATTTATTTTTTGTTAATATGTTTAAACAATTGATGATAGTAATGGAATGCTTCTAATCAACAAAATCTTATGTCCAATAAATCTTCTTTTTTAACCCCAAGTGATAAATTATTGATTTTGCTTATCTTTTTTGTTCCTATTTAGATTTTAAAAGGTTTTTTGTCTTTCACTAATTTCCCAGGTACAGGTACTGAGTAGTATACTTCGTGTTTGACTTTTTTTTATATTATGTTCTTAGGCATTGCATTGCAATGTGAATGTTGTAGTAATTTTCACTAGATATTGTAGGCTTCCAAGGTCTACAAGCAAAGCAGGTTTCTAGGTCCTACAGAAGTCTCGATAGACTTCCAGTGTCTTACAAAAGATACTCTGGATTTCCAAAATCCTACAAAAGGCACTGTAGGCTTCCATAGTTACAAAAGTACTATATATGCCTCAAAAGATAGCGTAAGCTTCCAAGGTCATGTGAGATGCACTGTAAACACTCAAATGTCCTGTAAAAGTCATTAAGCTTTCAAGGTCTCGCAAAAGACACTGTGAGCTTTCAAGGTACAAAAATCACTGTAAGCTTTCAAGGTTTTACAAAAAACAGTGGAGTGTGGGCATCCAAGGTCCTATAAAGTGCACTGTAGGCTTTTATGCTTCTTTAAGATACTGTAGGCTTTCAAGGCCCTGTTACTTTTTTCTGCTGTTTAAATTCTTTGTCTGATTTAGCTTACCTGAAGAATATATATTTTTAAATTTTACAACAATTTTTCTATAAGTCATCTTTTTCCAACTTTCATTTTGTATGTATGTTTCTTTCCAAATTGTAAAGAAGACATTTTATCTTATCCTTTTTCAGATGATTATATACAATGTATAACTTCACCTGACCTGCTACAACATTTAGTAAGTAAACCTCAGCTTATGAGAAGTCACCTTGAGCACCTTGCCCAGTTCCTGGCTCGACTGAGGGCTGATCAGCTTTGCGAGATAGCCAGTCTGTACGACCCATCCCAACCTGCTGCTAGACTAGCTTTTAGAAAAATTTTATCTAGTCCTCAGTCTCAAAGGCAAGTAATTATTTAGAACTGTAATTATTACTTAAAGGTTTTTCAACTTAAAAGTTGTTTGCATAAAGCTTTGGGTATTTTGCTTGATGTCTGAACCTGATGTTTGTTTCAAGCTGTACTAATTACTCAAATTGTATATATTGTTGTTAATCTGTGTGATTAGTACAGATGTTTTTTTACAATTTATTCTCTCTGTTTGCTTGATTTGATTTGGTTTATTCTAACCTGAGTTTCATTCACTAATAAAACATTTTGGTATGTTAATTTCTAAATATTTTTTTATTCAGCTTACATCACACAACGGATTTAAATGCTTTACTACCAAATGCACCAACACATGACTGGAGATATGGCACATTTGCCAGTGAAACCCCAGTTTCCCTTCTGATTTGTTTGTTTTTTGAATTTCGCGCAAAGCTACACGAGGGATATCTGCACTAGCCGTCCCTAATTTAGCAGCGTAAGACTAGAGGGAAGGCAGCTAGTCATCACCACCCACCGCCAACTCTTGGGCTACTCTTTTACCAACGAATAGTGGGATTGACCGTCACATTATACCGCCCCCACAGCTGAAAGGGCAAGCATGTTTGGTGTGACAGGGATTCGAACCCGCGACCCGCAGATTGCGAGTCGAGTGCCCTAACCACCTGGCCATGTTCCCTTCTGGTCATTGTGTTATGAAATCTGGTGGCCTGAATTGGTGTTCCCAGTGTTCCCTTATGGACTTGCTAAGCATGCATTACACTAATTAAACTTAAAACTGAAAGTCAATGGGATTTGTTTAGTGATGAACTAATTTGCTTGTAAATCATGAACAGCTCTCTTTATTTTTGTCTCTAAGATTTTGCCAAAAAACAATAAAATTAATTGGTATAAGATCTATGTTGTTGTATAAAAATGTTCAAGCATAATTTATTTGTAGTACACATCAGTGAACTAAATCATTGTCCATATTGTCGTGGTAGTTTTAAATTAAAAAATTTTAATACACTTTGTATTTTGAAAAACTAAGTTTATTTAAATAACTTGTTTGTGTTAATCTCAACAGTAGGAGTCATTAGTTTTTAGTTTTGTGTTGTAAAAAGTCTTTTATGTGACTTGGTTTTAATCTCAACTGTGGAGTTAATGTTACTAATTTTTAGATGCAGTTTATGCTGTGAAAATTTCAGGTATTTTGTTACTTGTTACTAATTGCAACAGTAGGAGTCACTGTGCTACTTTGTGTGTTGCTCTGTATTAAGTATCTTGCAACAGTAGGAGTCACTGTGCTACTTTGTGTGCTTCTCTGTATTAAGTGTCTTGCAACAGTAGGAGTCACTGTGCTACTTTGTGTGTTTCTCTGTATTAAGTGTCTTACAACAGTAGGAGCCACTATGCTACTTTGTGTGTTTCTCTGTATTAAGTATCTTACAACAGTAGGAGCCACTATGCTACTTTGTGTGTTTCTCTGTATTAAGTGTCTTGCAACAGTAGGAGTCACTATGCTACTTTGTGTGTTTCTCTGTATTAAGTGTCTTTCAACAGTAGGAGCCACTATGCTACTTTGTGTGTTTCTCTGTATTAAATGTCTTGCAACAGTAGGAGCCACTATGCTACTTTGTGTGTTTCTCTGTATTAAGTGTCTTGCAACAGTAGGAGTCACTATGCTACTTTGTGTGTTTCTCTGTATTAAGTGTCTTGCAACAGTAGGAGTCACTGTGCTACATGAGTGTTTCTCTGTATTAAGTGTCTTGCAACAGTAGGAGCCACTATGCTACTTTGTGTGTTTCTCTGTATTAAGTATCTTGCAACAGTAGGAGTCACTGTGCTACTTTGTGTGTTTCTCTGTATTAAATGTCTTGCAACAGTAGGAGTCACTGTGCTACTTTGTGTGTTTCTCTGTATTAAGTGTCTTGCAACAGTAGGAGTCACTATGCTACTTTGTGTGTTTCTCTGTATTAAGTATCTTACAACAGTAGGAGTCACTATGCTACTTTGTGTGTTTCTCTGTATTAAGTATCTTACAA